GGGGGGGGCTTGAGGTGTTGTAGATGGAGGTGCAGAGAGGGGGGTGTAGGGGATGTAGAATGTGGGCATGTAGGAAGGTGTAGGGAGGCGGTGTCTTGGGGAGCTGGAGATAAGGGAGGGGGGGTGCAGTAGGAAGTATAGTGTAGAGAGTAGAGAAACATTAAGACTTTGGTAGTAAATAGATTTCGTATTTATTTAGCATTATATTTTATTGAAACGCTCGAAGTGCCTGTAGACACTGTGTGTAAATCTAAGTAGTGTAATGAAAGCCGTCTACTATTGGAATCCCACAGCAACAGCGGTGCTCCTGCATCAATCCTTTTCTCCTATCTCTGCCCCCCTTTGTAAATGAAGCAAGTCACAGAAAAGCGACCACCTTCCTCTAGGAAAACGTTTTAGGTTTCCTTCTGCGGGAGTTTCATATAACTGTCCTTCGGATTCTACCTATGCATGGCCGTCTTGGTCATACTGAAGTTTCTGTCCAGATGTTCCTAGAGCATTACGCTCGGGTTGTAGATGAACTATCTTGCAGAGAAGTCCCCCACACCCATCTTCTTTTAGGAAAGCATCAATTTCATCTACAGTTTATTTGCATGTAAAATGCAAATTTCAGGTTTATAGGATCGTACGACTCAGATTCTGTGAGAGGTTCTTCGCCGGTAGAGGGCGCACGGGTGCTTCATCGTTCATCATCATATAATATATATTCATGAATAATTTAGGCGTGATAAAGTTACTCGTTATGGAATGTAATTTATCGTAAAATAGAGACAGCTGGAGTTTGGCCATGTGAATAATAGGTATTATATTCTGTTTACAAAATGATTACGAGACTCGGTCGAATTTTTCCAATTAAAATTGGAATGAATTTTTTTGTTGGAGTAAACTACTGCGTGTAGAGGTGCATGTATATAATATTCTTCTTCTTTTTGGTTTCTGTTTTTATGCTGTGCATCTTAAACACCCGGCTATGACGGGGTGTCAACCTCTGACTTAATTCACCCTCCACCTCCCCCGTTCTCTGCGTGTATCCACACTGCGACTCATATCCCACGTAATCTCACCTCGTGGCGGCATACCTCAACCGTCTCCCCGCCTTCTCCCTCACGTCTCTCGCGACCTCGCCCGGTCCTTTACCGCAAAATTAACGTAGGCTGCAACAGTGAGCATCCTTTGGCCTGGTGTCGATGATTGCGTGTTGTTTGGGTAGCCCAGCCTAGCATTTCACAGGTGGGTCGATAAACATGATAAACATTGTGTGTGCATGTAATAATAATCATGTACACGACGTGCCCGTGTGTTCGTGCTTGCGTATGTGTTGTGTGTTGCGGTGCGTGCGTGCGTGCGTGCGTGCGCTGCGTGCAGTGTGCGTGTGCGTGTGCGTGCGCGTGCTTGGCGGTGTGCCGATATATGCGCGGTATATATAATATCAAGGAGGCGCATTATACGTCTTTCGAGTAATATATATATATAAATATATATATTGTGTGTGTGTGTGTGTGTGTGTGTGCTGTGTGTGTGTGTGGTGTGTGTGTGTGTGTGTGGTGCGTGAGCGTGCGCTGCGTGCGTTGCCTGCGTGCATTGCGTGGTGCGTGTGCGTGCGCGAGTGTGCGGTGCGAATATATTGCGCCGTATATATTAATATGCAAGAGCGTATTTAAGAAGTTCATAATCCCTCTTAATACGCTCTGATATATGTCATGAATATATCATATATAGTGTGTGTGTGTGTGTGTGTGTGTGTGGTGTGTGTGTGTGCGTTGGCGTGGTCGTGCGTGCGTGCGGTGCTGTGCCGCGCCGTCGCGTGCCGTTCGGAGTTTTGCGTCCGCGTAACGGGAAACAGACATCGAAATGATATCCGCTCGTCATCCTACACTTCACATAATTATATCCTACCGCGCTACAGTCATCGCAATATTTTACTAGACTTCGGGGCTCTAGTTTACGTCTATAGTATCTCTGTACATCCTTTAGCCGGGCCGCATTGCCGACCGTGGATGAAGATTTCAGATGCATGTCCATTCTGTTAGTTCATATATATATTTCATAGTGATGAAGCGTGGCATATAGGCGCTTATAGCATATAGGCATATAGGCATATAGCATAGGCGCATATAGGTATATAGCGCTTCATATAGGTTCGCCAACAGTCGCAGCAGTGTTAACGTGTGTTGCGCCCCCTGCGATCCGACGAAGTGATCCAGTGATTGAAATTCCTAGCTTTTTTCCCCGAAGACAACGTGCGCAACGGGACGTGATGAGAATGGCTATGGCGACGGAGAGCGAATAGCCGAGGCGTTGATTGAATTGAAATGACTTCAGCGCTCTGTGTGGGCTCTCTCTCTCTCTCTCTCTCTCTCTCTCTCTCTCTCTCTCTCTCTCTCTCTCTCTTCTCTCTCTCTCTCTCTCTCTCTCTCTCTCTCTCTCTCTCTCTCTCTCTCTCTCTCTCTCTCTCTCTCTACCCACCCTCGAATACAATTAGCGATTATATTTACATTCGCGCGGCTCGCACAATCGCGGTAACGCACCGCCGAGAAAACGTCAATTTTTACATGCAGTATACATATACATGCTCTCGCTGTATCTCTCTAATTGATTTAGTTAGCTCTCTGCGATTCGCTTTAGCACGAAACGGCGTGTAAACTTTCGATGATGGCTAATGCGTCGGGTACGCGCACAAAGAAGCTTCGTTTCGATGAAAAAAAATCGGCTTGTAAATAATAGTAATGATGAATCCTTTTCACGAAAATGGCTTTCTCCATTTTTCGTCGGGCAGCGCGCTAGGCACCGGCGCTCGTACGTGTTGAATATTACTTCGATGCATGACACTCCGTTCTTCCTTGTCGCATCCTCAATGAAGGAAAACCCATTTCGCTAAAAATTCTTAAGTTCGCGTTGCGAGTCGAGTATTTGCATCGTTGCTATTGAAATTGCCATGGCGACGCAGGCTCAAAATCCTGTCGGAGGTGACCCCGTATGTTGTGGCTTTTGCGGTATTGGGGAGGAGGAGGGGCAAGCAGCGGGGGGGATGGGGGATGGGGGGTCGGGAGCTATCTACATACACAGATTGTCACCTCGGTTGTTGTGTGTAACAGTGTGTATAGTTTCCATAAATCGTGCGGGGTTGTGAATAGTAAGTGATTGATACGCTGATATTCGTGCCTGGATGCGATGTGATGAACCACGGCACAGCCTCCCGGCCCTGACTGCTGTGCACAACGCTCCGGTTTGCGGTACACACTGGTCTAGCAGTGCGGTGGAGGGCTGGTTATAGCTGTGGGAGCGGGTAGTAAGACACACTGGTGTAGCAGTGTGGTGGAG